TCTTTAAATTAAGAACCTAAATTACTAACTAAATAAGAAAGAGATTATGTAAGAGTCATTCCGTAGAATCTTTTTTCTTCAAAATTATTACTAAAAAAATATTAAACAACAACTTCTGCTGTAATTTCTTAAAAAAGATCAATTAAATCAACATTTTCAAATTTATTTTATCTTATTAAGTTCAAAAATGTTTTTTTGTTAAGTTTTCAATTGTCATTATTCTTTATTATAAGGAATCAAAATGGAAAATTGCTGACATTGCCGTTCTATTATTTTTCCATTTTTATCCTTTCGAAAAAAGGATACCGTCACCCATTAATCTTTTTAAGGCTTTTGTAAAATAAGGATCTTTTTCATAATATTTATCCTCGACACTTATAAAGGCTTTCAATAAATTTGTGTCTGTTATTCCTATAGTTATTTTTGAAAAATAATTTTGGACATATATTCGACTATTTTTTCCATCATCATGTACATGTTTAAAATAATAGTATATATCTTTGTATACTTGAATTATCTTTTATATTACAGCTAAAACACCTAATATTGGATAAAAATTGCCTTTTCCAAATTTTACATAATTGCAGAATCTTAAGTAAGGAATAAAAATAAGTTTTGTTAAAATAAATATAATGAAAATTATTAGAGAAAATAATATTATATTTATTATCATCTTTGATTTTAATTATGATTTATATTTTTTTTTTAATTTTAAAATCAAATTATTTTTAAAAGTACTTCTATAAATTAAAATTAATAAATATATTCATATATACATTTATCCCTTCAAGTAAAAAAAAATCTACTAATTATTATATTATTAAAATAGACATTAAATTATTATTTTCTACTAATTTTAATAATAAATATAATTTATTCGTATATTTTAAAAAATATTAATTTGTAATTATTTACCATAATTTTTTATAAATATTAAATTTTATAAATTACATATTGAAAATTTTATTTTTATTTATGTTTTTATTTTTTGGCAATTATTAATATTTTAATAAATTAATTAAAATTAAAAAAATAAAAAGTAAACATAAATAAATATAATAATTATATATATATGTTTATTCTTTTTATTATTTTTTATTTAAGTAATAAATAGAATGCATATATTTAAATTCTGTTATTTAATCAATATTATGAATATAATATGCATCAAATATAAAAAATATTTTTATTTGGTATAATAAGATGATTTTAATTAAATTTATTTATATTTTTTTATATGATCAGAATTATTTAATTTTAAAATAAACATTTTATATAGAGATAATTATTAATATAGTTTGATTATAGTTCTTTTATTTTTCATTAATTTATATAATATTTTGAAATTTTTATTTAATTAATTATATTTTTACTGTCATGTTATAATACACAATATAAAAATTAATGTGAGAAAAAATTGATAATGTTCTTTTTTTTGATTGAGTTTTTTAAAAATATTTGCTGTCAAAATAAAAATAAATAATCTTTAAATTAAATATTTTTATCTATTTTATAATATAATACAAAAAATAAATTTTTAAATAATAAAACTTTTTGTTTATAAATATACAAACAAAAAGACTTTAAATTTTGGTTTGAATTTTATTTATATTTCTTCTTTTAAGGAGACAAAGTAGTTACAATGACTCTTTTAGAAATGCGATTTATTCATGTAATATCGGCTTATCGATAATTTTTAACTTTTCTTTTTTTCTTTATTTCGAAAAAGATTAAAAGAAAAAATTCACTAAATTCGAAAAAGATGAGAAGAGTATGATTGAAGAAATAAAGGATAAAAAAACTGTATCCTATGTATCCTATAACTTTAACTATACACTGAAGTACCTGCCCGAATTTAACCATGATTGAGCTTTCAGTGATTTCTGTGATTTTTAGAGTACCTTTACATAAATTTGATTAATTGAAAAACATAGAAAAAATAACTAAAGAATCGAGCCAGAAATATTATTTATATTTATATTTTTTTATTTTATCTTTTTTATTAAATATATTGCTATTTTTTTTTATTTATTCTTTATTTTTATTATAAATTCAATTAACAAAAAACAAAAAAAAGCCTTAATCCATTTTTTCTTCGTGTTATTCCTGCGAATTAAGATTTTTCGGTTTTTGATACCTTATTTTACTCAAGAATTCGATAAATAAGTGATAGAGCCTTTGGATTTTTGATGAAAGCTGAATTTTCAGAATAATAAAGCTATTAAATTAGAACATCGGTGTATTGAGTTAAGTTTAAGTTGTCCTAGTAAGATAGTATTAATAAATTTTTGGTTTAAAATGAATTTTTGTAGGAAGAAAAAAATTATTTGCATAATGTAATGTTAATTAAGGTTTATTGTAAGCACTAAAATTTATATATTTTTTTATATTAACATATATTAGTATCAATTTTTTTATTTATTAGTAAATTGAAAATTTAATTTAAGAAAAAAATGTTTGTATTTAATTATTAAGTAGATAAACAAGAGAAATTAAACTTCATCTTTAAAATGGTCATTAATATATAAATATTTTATTTATTTATGGTATAGTGAAAACAATGTTATATTTGCATAAAAATATGTGCTTTAATTAAAAATCTTCATCATTGATAATTTCATGTATAAATAATTTAGTGAGTAATTCAAATGTATTAATTAAAATATTCATAAAAATTATTCTCTTAAAGATGCAAGGTATGACATTGACAAATATTCAAAACCTGTTATTTATATTATCCCTTATGAAATAAACTTTCTAGCAAGACTATAATTCTATATAATAATTTAATACTCTTTTCTAATAATTATTCCAAAAAGTGTTTAAAATTCACTTAAAGGACTTATGACAATTATGGACATAAGATAAACTTTAGAAAATATATTAAAATTTTTATAGGATTTGAAAAACAGTCAATAAAGATAAAAATGAAAATGTAAATAAAAATTTATTTTTATTTTTATATTTAATATTTAAAAATTAAGGAATTTAGCAACATTTATTAATGTGTATATTATATTATGAAAAAAGGTTATAAATAAATTATTAAATAGTCTGAATATTATTGTTTATATGATAAATTTTTTAATTATAAAAAATTAAAATAGATTTTAAATTATGTTTTAAAAAATTAATTTATAATTTATATAATCAACTAAAAAAAATATTGTATATAAAAATTTATATATTGTTAAATAATAATTTATTAAAAAATAAAAAAATTATATAATCAATGAAATTTGAAATAGTTATATAGACTTAAATAAAAATACTTATTAAAAATTATAATTATAATTATAAATATATATATATATATATATTTATATACTAATATATATTATAGAAATAAATTAAATATCATTTATAATTTTATAAAATTATAACTATTATATATAAAATTAAATAAATTAATTTTTTATATGTTTTTTTTATTAGTTTTTTACATAAATTAATAACTTAAAATAATTTATATAAATTATATATTTTATAACCTATTTTTAAAAAATAAAAATTATGTATATTTTATAATTATATAAATAAGTTATTTTACTATTATGAAACCTAAATTAATACTAGTTTTAAAAAACTTTTATTTTATATGTTAAGAATTAATTTAATTAATAAATATTAATTAACTAATATCGATAAACATAATTTTTGTTCTTAAATTAATTTTTATAAAAAATATGAATAATATTTATCAGAGATATCGTTTTATTAAAAAATAAATTAGTTATTTTTTAATATTTTTTTTTATGTATTTATTTTTAAAAGTATATTCTTTTTTTGGATAACGTATTATTTTTTATTTTATTTTTCAAATATTGTTTTAATATAAAGTTTAAAAGTAGATAATTATGCATTACAATTATTTACTTTAAATTTTAATTTGTGATTTTTATAGTTTATAGGCTTATATATTAGCTTCACCATGTAATTATAATTATTAATTTTCATTATTTATAATTTGTTTTATTAACAACTTATGCTTATATTTTTATCAATCTAATTTTATATCCACCTGGAGTGGGGTATAAATTCACGTAAAATGGGAGTGTTAATATTTTTTCTGTTGCTTTGTTAAGTCTATTCTCCAAATATATTTTATACATATTTATATATAATTTTAGCACAAAAATAGTGACTATTAATACAGCTAAGAAAATAACAAATTTATTTAAACTTTTTATTTTTTATATAATTTATTATTGTTTGGTAAAGAAAAGAAAAATATGAATACAAAAATATTTATAACTCAAACAGATAAATCTTAGTTATTTTCATTTTTTTTATTTGTAAAATTATATAATTTCTTGTTTTAAAATTATATATATTAATATTTTTAAGTAATTTTTGCTTTTGCAATTTAAAATTTATGTATATCATATTTTTTACAAGAAAAATAAATTTAATAAAATTTTTAGTTTTATAATAAGCTATATAATAACTTGAGTTTTAATATTAAATACGTTTTATAAGTTAATTAGAAATTAAAATAAAATTAATTTGAATAATAATATAAATAAGTATTGTTTACTTCTACTTTTTTAAGGTTTATATTATATAAAAGCTTTTTATGCGTTAAATTTATCAAAAAAATTAAAATAATGAAAATAATTTATCAAAAGAAAAAGATATTAAATAAATAAAAAAGAAAAATAAGGATAAAAATCAAATTATTATATAAATAATAATTAACTAAATATAAAAATTATAATTTTTTACTTAATATATAAAAATTTAGATAATAATTTTTTTTACATATTATAACTTAAATATTTATAATATATTTTCATCATTAAATTTTAATTGTTTTTAATTAGTTTTAGAAATTAGGACTTGATGGATTAAATGTTGTTATGATGATATAATCTTTATGCCACTTTAAAATAAAAATTATATAAATATATAAAATGAAATTAAAATTCTATTAATAAAGATTAAATTATTTTCAACAAATAAATAGAATAAATTTTATATTAAAAAAAAAGAATCTAAAAAAAAAAAATTGTAATTATATGAATAATATATATAAAAAAAACTTTTAACAAATATATTTTAAATAAAAAAGAAAAAAAATATAAAAGATAAATAAATATAAAATATATTATAAAAAATGTAAATTTATTAAAAAATTTATAAAATT